TGGTTGTGTTGTTTGTTGTATGGTTGTGTTGTTTGTTGTATGGTTGTATTGTTTGTTGTATGGTTGTGTTGTTTGTTGTATGGTTGTGTTGTTTGTTGTATGGTTGTATTGTTTGTTGTATGGTTGTGTTGTTTGTTGTATGGTTGTGTTGTTTGTTGTATGGTTGTGTTGTTTTTGTCTAATGTTTCTCTGACCCTCTCTGTCTGTCTTTTCCTGGGTCTGCCTCTTCCTCTGTGTCCATCTGATCTCTGGTTGTATGCTCTCACTGTTATACTGTATGCTGGTGAACTTGACAGATGTAGCAAGCCGACGGCGAATATTAAATGCTCCAATCAAAAGGAAAGAGAAATCGCAACAACTCAACGAAGTTCACTGGGTTGGTGGGTTTTTTTAACGTATTCCGGAAGTGGATGGTTGGCGGGTGCTCTGGTGTGGTTTACTCATCCTTTTTAGCGAACATCTATCGTCCTGATCTCTCCTATTTTTTGTGTTTGTTACTCTCTTGTAAGACCTCTAATGTTCGGCTTTTATATGACCTTATTGTGTTGCAAGTGCCGTTAAACCCTTCCTAAAACAAAACAAAAAAATATAATCCGGGAAACAGCTGCGGTTGGAAACCCAGGGCTAGCGGTGTAGGCATTATATGTGAGGCAGCGTAGTGAAATCAGGCGCTCGTCAAAATACAGAAATCGGAGAAACGCATTTTTCTCCCAGTTTGGACACTTTCGTTTGATTTTTATTTTTTGGCTCAACATCTTTATTACCATATGGACACATATTTCCATTTGAATTTTACAACAGCAAAAAAACATTTGTTAAAGGAAAAAATATGTCATTTTTCTCTTTTCAATTACTCTTTAGGAGTTACCAAACTTTGGCGGTCATTTTATGGCTAATTTCACTTCTGAGACCAGATAGCCTCCGCCTCCTTTAGTCGCAAATATTACGACTTGTATTTTACGATAAATGGAGAGTTTCTTTTCAAAAATATTAAGACAAATGAAAAAGCTTGAAGATGCTATCAATTACTCCACATGCCCCTAAATTAACGAGCGCCTGATTCCTCCACGTCGTGACACACACCTAACACACATACACACACACACACACACACACACACACACACACACACACACACACACACACACACACACACACACACACATATATATATATATGTTTTTTTCCCGATTGTTTAAAGTTTCTATCGTGGATTCACAAGCCTGTCACACATCTGTTTTAAAGAATGGAGTGTTTCTTTTCCAGTTGAGAATCTACTTTGGCAACTGTCAGAGTATGAGTCGTGGTTTTTTGTGTGTGTGCAAAGGGAAGTGGTGTTGATGTTTCTCTCACTCGCTTAATTCCGACGTACAGAGCCGGTGAGTGTGAGTGACGTACGCGTGTTGATGACTCCAGCAGGAATGAGGCGTGTTGGAAACTCAGGCGTGCCATCACAAAGTGCACGAGCGTGTTATTTCCGAGAACGTAGACACAGGAATTGATCTGCTGGAGATAATTGTCGGTTCAGAAAGTGTCTAGCGCGTGAGTGTGTGCGCTCACAGTGGTTGTGGTGGTGGCGATGCACGAGCGTGCACTCACGTCCTACAACATGAAGACGGCCAGCCGTGAGTCCTTCTACCTCTCCGACACATCCACCGACGCCACAAGCTCCGCCCTAGGTGCTCACGTGACCTACACAGGTCAGCTGGATGACCCCGTGGGTCACCTCACCTACACGGGTCAGCTGGATGACCCCGGGGGTCACCTGACGTACACGGGTCAACTGGAGGAGTACATCAGCCGCTACAAGCGCCGGCCACCGGACATCAAGTACTGGCCGTACGGACCCTACTGGCCGCGCCATTACGACGGGCTGCTGCTCAACACGCCCAGACATCTGTGGGCGTGGCCTAGGGAGGCGGAGCCGCTCGTACGGGCGGAGTTTGGACGACAGTTGATGGGTAGGTGGGCTCAAGGTTGCGGGTAGAGGGTAAAGGTCACAGGTAAAGGGTCAAGGTCACGGAGATGGCGGCATGGTTAGGTCAAGGTCACATATAGGGGGATACTGTGGTGCAACAATACAACAATCAGAGTTAGCGATGTGAGATAATGTCAGATTTGGACATACAATACAACAGTTAGAGTGAGCGGTGTGAGATTATGTCAGATATCGAACATACAACACTGGAGTGAGCGAGGGTAGTCAGAACTACAAAACTGGGACCCAGTCGCCCGGCAGGGCTGTGTGCAAAGTGGGATATCCAGGCAGTTTGCATGTCTTCCCTCTCGTATGGCTCTGTAAGGGTGGTTGGCGTGTGCCCTGGTGTGATTTGTCCTTCTTTTTTATCAAGCATCTTTTCTTCCTTATCTCTCCTATTTCTTTTCGTTGTATGTTACTCTCTTGTAACAACTCCTATCTAAAGTACGTGTGTGACCTTTTTTGTGTTGCAAATGTTGTAAAATTCTTACTAAAGCTAAACTAATTACGGTTTAAAACCATCTGAAAAATACACTCAATTTCGACTGCGTTGAAAGAGCTGAAGGTAAACCTTAGACATAAATCGACTGCTTTGTGTAAAAGATCGCCATCCGCCATGTTGAAAAGTGACGTAGGTCGGAGCCTCCCAGTGAGTTGACGAGATACATCGTTCGTGCATTCCTCAAATGGGAGGAACAAGAGGTCAAAGTTCACTACTTCAGGATGTGTGTTCTGCTCATTCCATAACTTCTGGAGTAAAACTTATTTGGTAGTGTCGTTTGTTTGAAGGTTTGTTTGTTTGTTCGTTTGCTTGTCTGTTGGTTGATTTGTTCAATTCTGTTTTCTTAGTATGAAACTTTAAAACCACCAGGAAGAACATGGCGTATACTATGAAACATTCCTGCATATTCTTGTTTTTGATGTATATGTGGTGGTTGGAAATGTGCCAGAACATTGTCTTTGGTGTACTGTTGTTGGGACATGGTATGTACTCGCTACACCTTAGACTCTCCAGTACCTCTTGTCTGAGCCAGAATACACAGATTTGTGTAATTTTCATTTCATTTTTGTTTCCCCGATTTATCCTTTTCGTTTTGGTATCCCATAGATGTCCTTGGGGGCTCTCGTGGTCTGGAGGTTAAGGTGTTGGCCTCTCATTCAAAGGTCCCGGGTTCGAATCCGGGTAGCGACCGAAAAATTTTCTTCTCTAAAATTGTCTCCTTTCACCCCCTTT